GCGGGTGATTTTTCTCTATTCATGTGGTTGATCAGGAACAAGTTAGCTCAAACGAATGGGGCCAACAGTTGCTTGCTTTTCTTAAGCCAATTTCATTCCGGGCGACCCCTACCAAGCCAAAACTCGAAAGGGATCTAGTGATTGGTTTACATAGCTAGAACACGCCCAAAGTTGTGCTTTACGAGCATGGCCGATGGGCGTTTTTTGTTTAAGGGCTAATCGTCTTTTGAATAGAAGGAAGTGGGATAGCAGAGGTGATGCATGAGCTGAGGCCCCCATGTCCCACCGATACTCCAAAAACATCAAGTCATAAAACGGCTCATAGGGAGTCAGAAGCAAGGCTAGTCAAACTCATATAAGCGGAGGGGTAGACACATTCATGAAAAGCACGAAGCCGTGCTGTGCGGGACTGACCATAGATCCTACTAAATAAAAAGAATTGATTGATCTCAATTTACTATTTTTCTATATTTTTTTAATCACCTGACCGGATTACACTAGCAAATCCACCAAAAACTTCTAAATTTTTTTATCTCTATCTGGTTTTTTCTACGTTCAGTGGGATCAACTGACCACACTGAACTAGACGTAGCACCACTGGTTTCAGAACCTCATTTTAACGACTTTATTAGATTTATTTGATCGGATAGTAAATGGCTTGAAACAGAAACATCCAAATGCAACTAGCTTACCTTTGCTCTCATGGAATGGTCTAGCAATATATTAGCAGACTTCAAATCACGATGTATGACAGGTGGGACTGCCTGTTCCAAGAATTACTCTATGTAAGAAAGAATCAAAGAACTGCTTCTACATGGGAAAGAAATCTAACAGATACCATTGTTACTCAGCTTACCCCATCATGAAGATATTCAATTCCATGTGATATATCGAGTGCAATTTGGAGCCTTTCTTCCCAACTCAAAGCTCTCTCCTCTTCACCGACGTCTGTGAGCAGCAGGATTATTTTAATTCACTTTAAAATAGAACACAAAGGAAGCTCATTTCTATGCCATCACAATTTACAAAAAAGGTATGTCAACTCCAACCACAAACTTGCTAAGATTTGGTCAATAGTTTACATTTCCATTAAATAAAAAAAGTGGCAGAATCTGATCCACGGTTTTTAGAATTGTTTCAACTTACCTACATTCACAAGACAGACAATGAAGTGATTGAAAATTCTATCCTTGAACTGGCAAGCAATAGGGCTATGACATTGTGTTTAACCGTACAAATTGTACAAAGCTTAGGGTTTTTTTTCTTTTTTTTGGTCTTTGTGTGTGGGGATGGCCCTTCAATGCCCCCGTAACTTATATGGTCATTCCTCGTCCCCCTTTGCAGAAAATGTTACAAGAGTTGGAGCAGCATCACTGCCATCACAATGTAAAAAGTGTAAAGTGTCATTCCACAATTGATATCCCTCGTGTCCAATGGCTCAATTCTTAAGCACAAAGGCATCTGTTGCCTAGATAAATACAAGCTCAATTTCAAGAATTACCTTTATCACACAGAAGACCAGGTTTTAAGAAAATGGATTACAAGAACAAAGAATTTTATACACCATATATGCTGAGGTCATACATTATACCAACAATTATGAACCACCACAAAACATGTGATGATATCAAACTTCCAACTCAATCGCTCTCTCAAACAACAAGCTCATAAACAACTAAAAATACCAAGGACTTATTCATGTGGAAATACCATACTAACAAAAGTAATGAAGATCAACTAGAGAATGGACAGTCTAACTTACTATATAGAAGGTTCGCCAAGCTTCCATTACTCATGAACTGATAAATTAACATGCGTTGGCCTTTATCTACACAATATCCAACCAAGTTCACCAAATTTCGGTGATGCAGCCTTCCTAGGAGAGATACCTGGCAAAAAAAACTAGACCAATTTATATAAACTCAACAAGCTTTGACTTTAGTTAAAGAGAGCTCAGATAATATGTGGAGGTGATTTTAATACATCCAAAACTAAATTGCAGATGCCCAATATAGGTAATGCATGGCTTATTGAGCCTTAATTACTGTTTTTGTTTCACTTTTTCCTAATTTTGAAAACAGTTCTTAAAATGCTACCTTTATAATTAGTGCTTGATTATCTTGCAGATTTGAAGTTGAACACGTGCAGATGTTTTAGTAGCCTCATCTAATTTTCACAATACATAAAAAGCTGTAAAGATATGCCAGAAAATATATCGAGACACATCTTTTCTTTCCCATATCATTCAAGAAGGATAAATCAAGATTCATTCTTCCTATGACCAAGTAGTTGATTCCGCCCGTACCTCTGTATGGAACTCCTTCTCTCCTTGTTTTGAATTAGAAGCAAGAACCTTAACGGCAACTACTTCACCCGCAGGCATTATAGCTTTATAAACTGGACCAAAAGATCCTTGTCCCAAAATAGTTGTGAAGTTCTGAGTGGATCTCTGGATGTCCCTGAAGTAGCATGTGGGGTTACATCAAGCACATCATCAGACCCTGCTTAATGTCATACAAATATGGCATTCTGATGTACCGATATGAATATGTATTTGCTTATGCCACATACATTGGTAAAGTGTATAAGGATGTGGTTGCTTACTGAAGCCGTGTTCAAATACCCCACTTAAATTCGTTACTTACTTCAAAATTTCCATCTCCCTGCATATTATGTGTGGATGTGTGGTGTGGGTGTAATTATCCAAAGACAGCCTATGGACATTGCGTTACATTCTAAGGTAAAGTATCTTTGCTAATTGTCAATTTATGCTCTACTGAAAGAGTCAGTATCATCACAAAAACAGATTTATTTGAGATAGTTGGTCAACATAGAGGCCTTTTTTTCCCTTTAGTTGACTTGTTGCATTCAACCTTAATGTAGTGAATGTGTTCCAAAGATGGTTCACTGAAGAAGAGTTTATTGTCAGATATGGTGCTAGTAGAGAACAACACAAGATGCTAGCATGCAAGTAATGTAGTTTAGCAAATAAGATGCAATTCTTTTTGACCAAAATATGCTGAGAGAATCAAATAAAATAAATCATTTTGAAGAGACACCAGTGTTGCCTTGAACAATTGGCACAAACAGATAACATGGTAGATGCTAAAATTTCAAACTACAAAATCAAACGTTAATTGATCATAAGTTAGCCAGGCAATAAGCAATAACCAGAAAAGTAAAACTTTCGAGCACTTATCTCAGTTGTCATGCTGTATTAAGAAGTATCAACCAAAGTTATATTTACAAGGGCTATAGAATACAGATAAGTTATGTATACTAATTCAAGAAGTTCAAAACTTGCCTAGAGTAGATATTACATACTTGTACAAGTATCTTGGTATGCCGGAAGCTGAAGCAAGCCGGTCCTTACTCCGGGAACTCCACCAAGAGTGCTGAGAGTTTTTCACAGAATCATCTGCTCCCTTAACAGCCACAGAATTCGAGAGACATGCACTTACGTCAACACTTGTACCTAAGCCATTTGTGCGGATGGGAAGAATTGCTATAGAGCGCTCATTGCCACACCGCTGAAGATGACCACGCTTTTTGTACCATCGGACTCCGAAAAACACAAGACATGCGATAACAATGCCAACAGCCACACCAACAGAGATGCCGATAATTACCAAGTCAGCTTTATGAACCATTTTTGGGTCTTTTACCAGAATCAAGCAATGAGAACATCTTGAGGGCAGCAATGGAGGACCCACTACAGTTATAAAGGGACAACTAACATCATTTGATGAACAAGATGCACTCTCCAAGATGAAATAGCGCACAATAACACTAAACCAAAATCAAACAAAAAAGTTCGTTGACCGTATAAAAATAAATTCTTCCATTCTTTGTAGCCTGAAATTTTGGCGGGGGGAGGTTTTAAATTCCTTTTATGTGGGCACAAATTGCACTAGTCAATAGCTAAGAAGCATGGACACGAATACGACACGACACGGACACGCCGACAATAAATTTTTTAAAAAAGTAGGACACGGACACGTTGAAGATACTTCCAATAATACGTATTCATATATAATCATGTTATAAATAAAAATATTATCATAATAATCTTTCAATTCATCCTTCCACTAATTCTAAAAATTCACATCATAATATCACTATATAAAAATACAATATAAAATATACCGACACACATTAAACATTAATGTTTATGATCCAACAATCAATGACAACTACATCTTTCATTTTCAAAAATATTTTACTTCGTAACACTAATTTTCATCAATTTCAAAGAACCTCAATTTTATAGACCCATTTTTTCTCATATTACTTTCATGTTAAAAGTTTATGTCATTTGTATATAATTTTATATTCGTATCCAAAATTATTTTCTATTCATGTCCTATGTTTAATATAGTGATTATAACTCCTTTTATATTATGATTTTGACCCATTTCTTTAAAATTACAAAGCTAACTCCTAATAATAAAGTTACCTAAAACGTTCTCAAAAATTTTTAAAAAAAAAAAATCTAAAACCATGTCCAAGTCATACATCCCTAACGTGTCTTTAACATGTCAGCCGCGTGTCCCTAGCATGTCCGGAAAAAAAATTAACAACAAAAAAATTGAACACTCATTCTAGCATGTCCGTGTTTGTGTCCATGTCCGACACTCTGTTTGTGCTTCCTGGGTTGATAGTTAAAGAAATATAAACAGTAGTTACAATGTCATCGGTGGGAGATATATCTTGCAAGCAGCAACAGGTCAATGTGGAAATGGTCATCATGTTTTGGATGACTTGACAATGCAAATATGATATTTCGGCTGGAAATGCCCGGTGGATTCTTTTGTCCAACTTTTTTGGCAATGGATAATAACATTTCAAAGTTTGCATAACCTCACATACCAATACATGAAAGAGGAAACTGGTTTACAAGTCTTAGTTATTACCCAATGCTGTTGGATACAAAATACTATAATTTTTTATTTAAAAAGAACATGCCTAATAAAATGTGAATTCATCAAGGTTTTCAGTAACCATAGAACCTCGCGTTAACAAGTTAATTAGCAAGATATGATTAGAACCCCTCAAAAAAAAGGTATGAGAAAAAGGAAGAGAATAAACGAAAACAAAGGGAAATACCAAACAAAACCGAAAACGCCTATAAAAAATTGATAGTACCAAACCCAGCGACAGCAGAGTAGTCTCAAAGGCCAGAATTAACAGGATTACGCCATACTGCAGTACTTCATAAAATTAGCAAACAACCATGAAACTTGATCAATACCCATATACAATAGGATCCAAAGGGTCTCCAGAAACTTTAAACTAACAACATCCACAAATTCAAACCCAATAAGACTCAACAAAATACCAAAAAAACCCAAGAATTCAAGCCAATTAAGAACATGATTGAGCAAGAAATCTAAAAGCCAATAAACAGCCATAACAAGTGATAATCACCCATCTATCACCAAAGAAACAAAACCCACAAACACAAACCACTAAAAAAACCCTCAAAACCCCAAGAATCGAAACCAAACAATATAAGATAACAAAGCAACAAAATAACTCAAAACCGCCAAAGACCCATGAATATTGACAAAGAATCCATACCTTCTTAGCTGAAAACCAGAAGTTTTAATAGAGAGATCAAGTGTGTTAGACAAAACCCAGTATTGGTCGTCCAAGGGAAGATTGTTGATAAAAGACGACCGAAGACTTGTGAACAGAGGTTAGTTGATGCAAGAAACGGTAGAGAGAGAAGGAGGAGAGGGTGACTGAGTTGCTTTTATTCGATATAGAAAAGCACGCGGTTTGGCAGTGCCTACATACAACAGAGAATTTGGTAGGCTTTCCATTAATCAAAGATCAATCGACAAATATAAAGACCCTATTGACCGAAATTGGCCGTTAATGGGACCTAGACATGTCCGCCTTAATCCTCTGTTCATTGCGGTTCGGTTGACCTTTCCGAGTCCTATAACCATTGACCAATTCAGGACATGCATCTCGAAGAAAAAAAAAAATTAATTGCACTAAAATCTCCGATATATAAAATTTATCTCATTTTTATTCTCAATATTTTAATTACATTATTAAATCGCTGAAGTATTAAATAATCCCTCCGTTCCTAAATATATTTCGTTTAAGATTTTTGCACAGAATCTAAGGAAGCTATTAAATAGCTTTAATATAAGTAAAAAATAATTACACAAAACTAAAATATCCTTATTAATAAGTACTGGAAAAGAAAAGAATATGAAAGACACTTAGCCTCCACCTAATCTAATGTACTGAAAAGTTAAGGATAAATTTGAAAAAAAAAATATTAATTATGCGTTGATTTCATTACACGACAGATATTATAAAACAAAAAAAATTGTATAAAATGACAGATATTTAAGAACGGAAAGAGTATATTTTTATGTGGTCCATCAAACAAATAACATCCAAACTACTAATGATTTTTAATTTATAAACTTATTATATAATACTTAAAAATATGTAAAAAAATAATTTGGAATAACGCTTGACCAAATTTCTACAAAAATTTTGGTTAAAGAACTATCCAAATCTTGACCCATATTACACATTTTGTGTCAAGAACTATTCAAATTTTGGTCAAGAACAACTCAAATTATTTTTTACCCATATTTTAAATATCACGTGACATATTTATGATAAAAAAATCGGTAACAACTTGAATATTTCTTGATTGAGGGATCACATAAAAACATATTTAATATTTCAACAACTAAAATGATGTAATTCAAATATTAGAGATTAAAATGAAACAAACTCTATATTTTGGGATGTTCAGTGTAATTAACCCAAAAAGATAATAAAAAAAAAAGGAAGAAAGACTTTTTCCAATATAATTCTGAGAGGACCTACCCCAACATCACCTTCTTGTCATAAAGGTGAAAATCTCAAACAATTAAAAGAAAGAGTATAATAAAAATCAAAAAGAAATAACAAATTATATTGGATTTTCAGCACCAAGGGGTGGGACGTATATCTTAACCGGGGATGCATTAAACCCAATTATGCAAACAAGTTTATTTGGGTAGAATAACTCGAGGTCCGGTAAAATGACGAGAACAATAGACACTGAGGATTACTCACTGAAACTACAAGGAGACTGTGCTTACAAAAAATAACGGGCTTATCGCAAGTCCCTACACATAGATCTTGTTGATCATAATAGTAGGGATGGTCGTATTCGTTGGGCAACGGCATAATACGCAGGTAATATAATTATTTTTTGAAAATAAATTAATTTATTTTTAGAAGTACTTTTAAAAAATTATTCCAAACACATCCTTAGGGGTCTATTTTTTCTATTAAATTTAGGGTGTTAATATTAACCGTTAGATTAACTTTAAAATAAAATTTAAAGTTATCTCAACCGCGAAAAGTAAAAATCATTTTATTTATCTTTTGAAATTTGAATTATAAGCTACTTTATTATATAGATGGTGGTTCTGGTCCTTCTGGATATTACTTTTCTTTTAAATAAAATCTAAAAATTTTTAAATCCTCGGAAAAGAGAATGATGTGATTTAATAACCATCATATATTATACACGTGGTATTTTTCATCTCTTATTTAAACAAAAGTTAGTCTATTGCTCATTTTGGTTAGGTGTGCATGCGTGGGAGATTCATGCTAAGGGGACTATGTCATTCTAACTCATTTCCAATACAAGAATGTTTGTCCCATACGATTTGATACTTATATTTTACTAAGGTTCAAGAGTCTTGACCAGCTCAACTTTTTGTTACAATGAATTTGATAATGCCATCTAGTTCTAGGTTGGTTCTAAATTCTCCCCTTCTATTTGTTAAAGAGATTGATTCAATATTAAAATCAAAATACACAAGGTGATTCTTCTACTGTTAATTTATCGACTCGGTGAAAATTCTGTCAAGTTTCATAAAGTTTGATCAAATTAAGTAATTTCAACCCAAAAGAAAAAAAAAATATAAAAAAAATTATGTAGTTTTTTAGAAATTCGAAGTTGAATGGAATTTGAGGATTTAGCCACGTATTGAAAACTTTAAACCGTCCCCAAACATAAAAATAAATATACAAACAACCAACGCTATGAGCTTGCTAATTTTGGAAGAGATGGTGATTTGCACTTTACATAGACAATGTAATCTCAGTCCAAAGCTCATGTCATCCAATTTGTGGATTATATAATCGAATTTTACAAATTGAGAGCGAGAGCCTGTTAGAAATTTACAAGTTGATTATTTATTTAGAGGTTAACCGTCTTTTTAAAAGTTTAATAACGTGAACTTGTTCATGATTACGTTAGGTTGAAGTAACGCTAAACTTAATGGGGGAAGGTTGATGCTCACCAAAGGGAAATATTCTTTTGGGTGGTCTCTTTTATGTGTAAGTTTTTTCTCGATAANGTGATTACGTTAGGTTGAAGTAACGCTAAACTTAATGGGGGAAGGTTGATGCTCTCCAAAGGGAAATATTCTTTTGGGTGGTCTCTTTTATGTGTAAGTTTTTTCTCGATAAGTTCTCGGTATTTTTATATCTGTATATGTTAGTTGTATGTAATGTTTATACATCTTTCTCTGTAATAAAATGATATATTATAATATAATATTACATTGTTGTATATTTAAAAAAAAAATTAGTAGATCAATAATGAATTTTTTGGACTTGACTCCCATTATGGCATTATGCCCTTTAAAATGCTTCTCTCTCTCTCACACACAATTAGTATACTTAGCACAAGGACCACTGCCTACAAAGAAATGTTCATTGCAGTGAGTGAAACCTATGACTACTAAAATTGGACCTTGGTGAAGCTTTTGAGTCTCACATATGGGTAAACTGATTAAATAAGTCTACAAACTTTTGTGTTGGCAGAGGTTATTTAGGGGGTGTTTGGATTGTTTTTGTAAAATAGTTTTTTGTTCTCAAATTTCTGAAAATAAGAGAAAATTTGTTTGGTTAGATTTTTTGTTCTCCAATTTTTAGAAAAAATGGAAAATGAACTATATTTTTTGATAACAACAAAATGATGTTCTCTAAGTTTTCTAAGCCAAAATGAAAACACAAGAAATAGGTCATCTCCTCTTTAATGAGATCTCCGCTTCAAGTTTTGTTAGAGACAGTAGCCCCTCTCTCACAACACAGTTCTGAGTTCAGCAACCCCTTTCTCTCTCTCACAACNGAGTTTTCTAAGCCAAAATGAAAACACAAGAAATAGGTCATCTCCTCTTTAATGAGATCTCCGCTTCAAGTTTTGTTAGAGATAGTAGCCCCTCTCTCACAACACAGTTCTGAGTTCAGCAACCCCTTTCTCTCTCTCACAACTCCCTCTCTCTCTCCCTCTCTATCTCGTAACTCTCCCTTTTCACCAAATCCAGGAGATCTATGTACACAGATCTCTGTGTGGGTTCTCTTTGTGAATATTTACCACGAGTGTATGTGTGTGTTGTTTGTTGTGTGTGTGGTGCGTGAGTATGTGGGTGTGTGTGTTTGCTCTATTAGAAGATAATGGAGAGAGGGAGGGGGAGGGNTGTAACTCTCCCTTTCCACCAAATCCAGGAGATCTATGTACACAGATCTCTGTGTGGGTTCTCTTTGTGAATGTTTACCACGAGTGTATGTGTGTGTTGTTTGTTGTGTGTGTGGTGCGTGAGTATGTGGGTGTGTGTGTTTGCTCTATTAGAAGATAATGGAGAGAGGGAGGGGGAGGGGANCACATAAAAACATATTTAATATTTCAACAACTAAAATGATGTAATTCAAATATTAGAGATTAAAATGAGACAAACTCTATATTTTGGGATGTTCAGTGTAATTAACCCAAAAAGATAATAAAAAAAAAAGGAAGAAAGACTTTTTCCAATATAATTCTGAGAGGACCTACCCCAACATCACCTTCTTGTCATAAAGGTGAAAATCTCAAACAATTAAAAGAAAGAGTATAATAAAAATCAAAAAGAAATAACAAATTATNGGAGTGAAGATAAAAATTGGGGTGGGTTTTTGGATCATTGCCAAACATGTTTTACTATTTTTTGTTCTTTAAAATTAATTTCAAAAACATATAACCAAACAAATTTTACAATATAAACATTTTTAAAAGCTCTTTTCTTAAAACTCTTCTCAAAAATTATTTTCGGATACTATTTTATGAAATGCAATCCAAACACGTGCCTTAATGTCCTGAAGCCAAGTTTCCTTTAACTTCTTTATCTATCGGGAAAGTCTACGATACTGTTAAAAATTATAACTTTTATTCCCAAATGATAGCTCAAGTGGTAACTTGGATGAACTACAAATTCAAATGTACTAAGTTCAAATCTTGGCAATTCCTTGGGGCTACTTAATGAGAAATTTATTTCTCATGGATACCCTAANGATGCAATCCAAACACGCGCCTTAATGTCCTGAAGCCAAGTTTCCTTTAACTTCTTTATCTATCGGGAAAGTCTACGATACTATTAAAAATTATAAATTTTATTCCCAAATGATAGCTCAAGTGGTAACTTGGATGAACTACAAATTCAAATGTACTAAGTTCAAATCTTGGCAATTCCTTGGGGCTACTTAATGAGAAATTTATTTCTCATGGATACCCTAATTCTGGTGTAAATGGCTAGCCTGTCTATGATTGGATTGAGAAGGAAATTAGTCGAAGTATGTATAAACTTGATCCAGACACTCCTGACCGTTGATATAAAAAAAAATTACAACTTTTAAGATTAAATTATCACTTTTTGAGTTGTAAGTTACTAACTTGTAAAAACATGAACCAATTCTAAAATAAGAAAGGGGAGTAAAAATAAAAGAAAAACTAAATTTAGCTGGGCAAAAATT